CTGTTTTCTTTTTATGAATATTATTGTACCCTAACCAATTTGATACCCCGGAGCTCATCGAAAACACACGTCCGCCTAAATTGTGTGTTCCTAATCGATAGAAATAGTTCGTGAATTGGATAAGAAATAGAGCATTATCAGTACCCCTACTGTATACCGGTTCGCTTGCCTGCTTCACAAAAACATCCTTATATTTTGTGGACGACCCCCTCCCACCAAGTATGACCGACCGCTTGAGTGACAAAGATCGTTCCGTCTTTACACAGACCACGATTGGTTCATCGTGAAATGCATCAATTTACAATAACAGTAATCGAAGAACGCATCCAAGTAGAAAACCACTTCAAGAAACCATAGTATTCCAAGTATACAGATAAAGACAAGAGAAGTTAGATCAAACGAGATCATGGATAGAAAGGATAGTATTGTTTTGAGATACTACCCACTACTTCGTGAGTGGTAGCAGTAGTAGTTTGCGCACACCAAGAAGTGGTTGTTAGACTGCCACGGATTCCGTGAGTGGATTCAAACCTTTCATGGTTGCAACAACGGATCGGCAGGCTAGGGACCAGCGATGAAGAGCTGATCACGGAAATACTAAAAAGTGTTTCAAATTTGATGTTTAGTTCAGTTAGTCCAGTGTGATGCGATTGTTCAAATCAATAAATTCCCTCGTCCCAGGACTGTTTTGTGAACTGATAACAGTAGTATTGGTGTGAGAGAACTGACCGCAATAAACGAATCGAAAAACGTAAGTGTCCTGAAAGGATCAGGACTGTTTTATAGCGAATGCACTGCCTAATACATTCCGAACAGGCAGATGCAAGCGTTTTGATCGACAGGGAGTTAGCGTAAACAGAGCCGGAGGGGAGAGAGGGAGGGGGATGACGGTTTTTCCATCAGTGGAGATAACTCACGTCGAATAAACACAAGTCTAACGCAAGGGCACACACACTCGAAAAAATGGTATGCGTAGGCCTATTTGATTTTAAATCCCATAGATATACTTAATGTTCGTTCCTTTAATCACGATCTGATATTTGAGCCACCGGGTGCAGTTGTGTTACGTGTTGCCATCAATATGGATGATGAAACGGTTTATGAAGAGATCACCGTGTGCATATTCATGAATCAATAAAATAATACCTTTTTCGTGAGCGATCGATGAGCCACCATATGTGGAAAAATAAGTGCTGCCGGTGTGGTCTCGTGGTAAAGCATGCGCTGTACAAAAGCGGAGGCGGAATCAGTGCGTGGGTTCGAATCTCACCGAGGCTAGTGGCCGTTTCCAGTGCACAACTTAAATCTGCAAACAACATTATTTGAAGAACGCCTTTTCCTTAGGTGGAAGCGAGGTATCGCTGTGCAGCCCGATTGAAAAAAAAGAATCAGTCCGAATGATCAGTGAAGAAGAATGACTGTATGAACTTAATAACATTCTCCACAGTCCCATCACTGGTCACACAATTCTCAAACAAAAAACGAAGCTGAAAGCAACAGAAAAAAAGCACACAAAACAATTGATGATCGCCATTGAAAAAAGACGGAAAAGTGTCAGCGAGAGATTCAATCGAAGTGAATACCATTTGCATGTGTTTGAGGTGGCGCCCGGTAATTCTGCGGGGTGGGGTCAAAACAATCTGGGTTGGCGGCTCCTTGATTGGTGCGTTCGTTCCCGGTCTGTGTATGCGTGCGTGAGCGCGCATAGGGATTATTAGTTCAAGTAGATGCTCCAATTTCGAAATTCATACGAATAGAGAGATGCATATGCAAATTTTAGGCGTATGAGAAAACAAATCCGTTTTTTCTGATTAGCAAGAAGGCGTATGCACGCCTGACCACACACACACACACACACACACACACACACACACACACACACACGAACAGATGTTACGAGCAGAATACAATTAAATATCAGACAGTTGGAGATCATTGAATTGGAGCGCGCGGGGGCGGGGGGCTGAGGTTGGTAAGACACGAAGCAAAGTAGTGAAGCCTCATTGAAATGTGGATCAATCGACCGGTGCGTATTTCATTCATGGTGTCACACATCCTTGGAAGATCTAGGAATGTAATTTTGTTAATCAAAATTGAATTAGCTAAAGCTTTAGTTTAAGCCAGGTGTTGTGGTCTCTCCTACTATATTTGGACTAAGATAATTCTTTTCGACTTGGACGATATCCATTCAGTGAATCAATCAATATTACTACAGATGGGGATGCTGGCAAACCACAACCAATGAAGAGAGATCTGGGTAGAGGGTATGATAGCACGCTGATACAACCCCCCCACCCCCACCCCACCCTCCTCTCTCTTCCAGGCCCGCACCGCCAAAACACTTACTTACCGTGCTATTTTAATTATAAACAAGAATTTTGGACCAGAACTAAAAATACAATTTGTGGTAATTCTAGCCTACGAGATGACGCAAACAACGGAGAGACACATCATACTTTTAGGACAAATGTGATGAATCAAGCTTCCCAGGTGACATCAGCAAAGCGCCTGCGCCTTACGGCTACTGGAATGCAAACCATAGGCCGATTATGTTAACCAATCGATAGCCGTGCGGCCGAGACAGAACCTGTACGACTCCAGAAATAACGGCAAGCGATTGGTAGAGGCTTGAATAACCAATGAACTTGTTTTGTACATATTATTTAAACCCTATGATTTCTTTCAATAAACGAATTTCTATTCCTGTGGCCTTTTCCTCGCATCTCGGATACGTGGGTTACTGTCGTGCTAGTACCAGCGTGATTCAGTGCTTGCGTGGCGTATGTGATTTCTGATACGTGATTTGTATTTAGTAATCAGTGCGTATTACAACTACTACATAACTTTATTTAAAACAATCTATAAGGTCCAATTGTGCTCCTTTTTGAATCAAGTTGTAAGTAACACCAACAGAACTATTTTTCCTCATCCACACTAATCGTCCAAATTGAGATAATACGATTGGTGAAAGCCGAAAGCGTCTGATTGGGTTCGATAAGGTATGTAAAACACGGGAAAATAACCATCCACATACACACCGGCAGCCTAGAAACGGAATGATAACTATTCGAACAAACACATTGGAGCGTGCACGAAAGCCGGGGCGGAAGAAAATACCTTCTTCTGTTACACAATTAAGTGTGATAAACAACAGACGGAGTGGAGCCTCATAGTCACGAGGACCTGCTGTTCAGTGGTGGAAACCAGTAACCTAAGTCTCACGAGACTTGAAGTGGCTTACCTCATAAAGCCCCGATAGGTTAGGCGCGGTATTGAATCGAACGACAGCAGAGCTGCCTACCACCAAAGTCGGGTGGCGGTGGCGTGGCCCGAACCTCGGAACATAGAATCCAAAAGCACGCTTGTGACAGCGACTAAACCACTGCGCCACAACCACCCACACACCCGTGGATTGAAACGTGCATTGTGAATACTCGATAACATTGGACCGGTGCGCAAGATACAGCCACCCAATTACTATACTGTAGTTATCGCGAACTCCTTATTGCCCTCACGCCAGGACTTCGTTTGACCACCCTTGACCTTTTTCTACCCACTCCCTGATTCGGCGAACATCACTCGCCGTGGCAACCTATTTGCTGGCAGGCGTAACACATACCTCAACCAAGGTAATCTAGGGAGATCGACCATTTGCTCCAGTGGGAGATCGCGGTTGCCTAAAACACGACGCCTAACCTCAGTATTGATCATCTGGCTAGCCCACCAGATATGTGCAATGCTGCGTAGACGGCGGTGTTCTCCAGTTGGTAAATGCCAACCGGGCTTTCGATATGCGAGCTAACACACTTCATCCGTGATGTGTCCAATCAATCGAAGGAAAGGATAAAACGATGAAAAATATGCAGTCTATAGAGAGAGAGAGAGAGAGTGAAAGTGTGGTCAGGAGGAATCCGAACAGCTTCCAGTTTAGTTTGACTTTTATACACGTGTGTGTGTATGTAAGGGAGGAAGCAAGTTCAAAACAATTGTGATTGGACAGATAGTTTATTCATATTTGACTCACAGTTCTACTTGTGTAGTGTCGTCTTCAGAGACAGTCAGCTTGTTTTTGGCCCGACAGCAACGAAGGGAGACACAGTTGACTAACTCTTAAATCCAATCGAAAGCGTCCCATCAAGTCAGGTCTTCCATGTCGGTTACGGACTAACTGGCCATTACCTACCATGCTGGGTTAATCATCACATCTAATTCACAGCTACGTGTGAGTTCAACTCCCGGACAGGACGGCGGATAAGCATTACTGGTGAACTCTAATAAGAGCGAACCTCGAGTCTAGTGCTTCCGAGGGTATGGTTGATTGGAAGAGCTGAGGAATGTGCGTGAAGATGAGGTCCGAACAATAGTCAGTTTGAATCAATCAATATGAATTATCCCACACCACTACGCACAAGTAGAACAGTTAGTCAAATTTGAACTACTCAGTCAGTCTAGTAGGTTTGTCGAGAGTCAGCTCGTAACTTGCATGGAAGATCCGATTTGGTGGGAGGCTCTCGATTGGAATTAACAGATGGTCCGCTCTGTCTCCTTTCGCTGATGTCGGACCAACTGGCTGACTAAAACGGAAGATGATATCTGAACACACATGAATTGGCAATTCGGTTCAGCCCTGGTATGAAACAATTGAAACGGAGATAACCCACACCTTGAACGTGACGGATCCGAAGTTCAAAGCCTAAACGGGAAGGTGGACATGCACTACTGAAGGGCCCTAATAAGAGCGAAGATCGAGTCTAGTGCATCCGAGAATTGCGCGTGAAAGGTGAAATCTGAAGGATGGTCAGCTCAAACCACAATGCTTTTCGAAGAGAACATTTATGGATCAATTTTTCCTGGGAGATTGGTATCAGTCATTGTAGCTTCAAAGATGGAAATGTGCATGCTTAGTGCACGATGTCGAACAGGGGAGTCAGGCAAACAAATAAGGGGAATAAAAAGCAACATTTCAAGCATGAAGATTTGTGCCCATCTAGCTCACATACCTTCGATCTTTTCATAGATTTTCGAGGTTCTGTGTGAAATCAGAGCGTTCTCATCGGTCACTTTTTCCACAAATCGACGTATCCAAGCCTCGAGAGCAGAGATATAGTCCAAGGCTGAACCAACATTCATGCCGCGGTCGTGACGAGAACGAAGTGGGTCGCGACGTCTGAGCGAGAGAGATCATGAGAGAAAAGAACATAATGTGATCAGCCCCGTGTCAATGTTATGTGGGCGCGGACGCATGTGTGAAACGAAACGACGGGCTCAGATTCAATACGTTAACAATGAAGATACAATGACATGAAAACATGAAAAACACATTTTAGAAGCTTCGCATAAGTCGTTTTTAATCACAACACAACATGAGAAAATTTGGTGCAAAATGCTTGCTGTTCAACCCTGAACGCTCGAACACCTCAGTACATGAAGAAATCAATGGTTGGTGCTCTCTCTTGTGCACAAGGGAGAGAGGAAGTGCATTCCACTTGCTATCAGCAATACCGGATGGTGTTTGTTGTCGATGTGTATTGTTCGTAGAAACATAGAAACAGTGCGTGCAAAGCTTATCGCGTTATGAATAAAAACGGAATGCTAAGAGAATAGATCGAGTAAATACGGCTCTAAGTCAGATCCTTGAAACCTTCAATATTGACGAATATCGAGCCTCGAACAACGACAAAACAGAATCTCCAAAAAATCAACAATCTGCACACCGCACGTTTTTTCCACAACCACAACCTCATCCTCACGCCTCATTCTTTACGCATGGGCATCAGATGTTTGCAGTGTTGTCCGCTTCGAGATTGTGTTAAGTGTCTCAAGGCTGAACATCGGCCCTGCGACCAGATTACAACCCGTGCTGAACGGACGGCCAGATGGTGAAGTGCGGATCAACATCAACNCATTGATGCGAATTCGTCGTTTTCCCGTGAGACAACCGTTTGCAATGAATGAAATCTGTCGACTGCTTTAAACCCTTGTCAATACGGATATGCATGAGGTCAGAAATTTCAGAGATCAAATGAAATCACCGAACTATCGATAGGATAGTCTCAACCAACTTCCCACGCGGACCATGCATTCATTGTTCCCGAGGAATACCCACCTCTCTAGGCAAAACGTGCATGGATGAGAACGGTTGCATTATTTAATTTCTCACAATTTCTCAAATTCGGGGAACAGACATTCCTTCCACAAAACAACAAATTCTGTCTTCCACAAACTGAAGTTGATTGCTCCCTTGGTCGATCGCACCGAGCCCTAGCATTAGCTCCCTTGGATGGATCGGAACGGAGCGTGAGTTAGCTTTTCCTTTGCTTTCATTCGAAACCATGATCACATAGGTTTATAATTTTTTCACCGGCCTGATACACATAAATCAATGCTTCGCGTGAATACACTTCATCTCCCCCGTACTCTTTTGTTTTTCAAATTTGTCGAGAATGTAATTTCCAAAAAGGTTCTATTCTCGCCTGACGATAATGTGAATGTTTTCCAAAGCGATAAGATATCTTATCTAAGGAATGAAGGAAAGAAATTGTATCGCTGAGTTGAAGACCCGGCAAGATGGCAAAGCTGAATGAGCAGTTTCGTTGAATGTTTTGCGCCTACACCTGATGCAAAACTCTATGACAGGATCGGATTAATTCAGCTCTGAATTTGGACGGAACTAGAGAAAGCAACATAGCAACCAGTTAGTTTAAGTCCGCAGCTCAGATGAAAATCGGACACGCAGACAATATTTGATTACCTTGTGGAAAATTAAGATCTTCATGCAGTTGACCCTTGTCTGCGAAAAATAGGGCACCAGACCGGTCGGTGTCACATGCGGAAAAACAATTCAGACAATCGGGATTTCGAACCGGCATATTCCTAGTTTCATGACGATGCTGATGAGGTTAGGCCGAAACTGATGACAGATCACAGTTGAACCCATAAACGGGTACCTAACCTTCAGAGAGGATGATAGTCACTGGAACGTGGTATACATGTAATCGGAGAGTTTTCCTCGGCGAGTGATGTTTTTCAAGGTAGATGAAGATTGGGAAATGGTCAACAGTGGAGCGTGAAGCAGTTAAAACATGGACTAGTGAATCCAGTCATTCAGGCCATGCTGGTTTTTCCAATCAGAGATTACTCTGGGATGAGCCCGATCAAAGGTCAGAAGAGATCGTGGGTTATATGGCCGTGTCATCGTGATACCCTCGGGTTAAGCAGAGCTGAATGCTACCAGGCGCGTCCCCCAGTTGTGGATAAGGGGATACTTCTACCGAAGAAGGTTAGCTGTGGATAGGTTGTGCTATACCGCAACAAATAAGCAGTCGCGAAAAAACAGCGGCAGCACTCCCAGGGTGTGGAGGGTTTCACGTTGGTCACCTGGCTGCTGTTTAAAAGCCGCATAAGCCATATGACGGTGCCGTGACAAAGGTAAATGTGACTGGCCTCTAAAAACTTAAGTCACTGACCCCCTCATTTCCGATGTGAAGGAGTAGTCCCTGCTGCCTTGAAGTTGGCACTTGGTGCGCCTTCAAAATAAAAAAGCGCCGAGTGACGCTGGGGACCTCTCTCGTACTAAACGCCCAAATAATTTCATGATCATGCCTTCTACAAACTCCCAAGGAACTTCGTCATCGTGATCATGTCTGGAGCCGGCCTATCCTTTTCAAGGAGCCAGCCGCAGTAAAGTGAAGTAAAGTAAATGTGATCGTGAGTGGTGCGTGCGCAACCAATCAGGTTCGACTGAAATCAAGTTCTGCCTAGTTCTTTACGGGTCGAACAATTAACCACACGGTCAATCTCACGCTTCTTTTCTTTTATGTCTACCGAATAGATAACCGAACGATACCAGAGCAACAGTGTCCGCTGTTGGTGATTGTATGAACTGCAATTGATTGGCGTACCTTACAAAACATGCAATCGTTTTATTCCTTCAGTGTAATAGGAATATTGCGACCGTACTTTTTTCTTGACATACGGGATAAGAGTGCAATATAGAAATAAAACACCATTGTTCCGTAGTTAATCGTCGAAATCGAATGCTTCGATCGGCGTTTTGAACAGGGAAGAATCGAATCAAATGAATTGATGAGAAACGATAGCAGATTGTTGAAAAGGAAAAATTAAGAAACTTTTGAGAGCTCACGTGAGCTACTCGTGATCATCATTGAAGTACCATTTTCACCTGAGAAAACCCGCAAATTTCGGGAAGGGAGGTATTCTTTAGAAATAAAATTGAAAAACTCCCAAAACAATTAATTATACACATTCTAGGTTAAGCGCAGATCAATCCACAGGCATTAGGATCGGTGTATTGATTTTGTTGTGAGTCCTACCCATTGGACGTTCACTGATCCCCCCCCCCCAATCGCTGAAAACATGCTGCTAATGGCACCTGCAACGACAGAACACAGACTGAGGGTTGCAAACAAAAACGTGTTTGTGTAAGACAACGGACAGAGAGAAGAGGAGTGTAGTTAAATATACAATTATCTGGAGACGTGTAAGTGTTCCGGTCGTGCAGTCTCATCCATTCGCCAGTGTGTGTGTGTGAGTGAGTGAAGAAAGATGAAAACAAAGTGATACAACAGAAACAGTTGTCGAATCAGCAAATCTGCCCCCCCAGAACCCAATCAGTGATTCTCTGTCTATGGACAAAAAATACGTTGGCGTCATTGAAAGAGGAGGAGGAGGAGCAAAAGGGAAACGCTTATGGAGATAGGGCTTGCAGCTCCATCCATGGTCAAGCGGATGAAGTTGTGATGCAAAAGGGGAGAAAGACAAAATTCTACAAATTCAAGGCCTGGTGGTAATCCAGAAAACAAGGAAATTAAAACATACCAACCAATATGATGAACCGAGTTTTGTGCTCTCCTTCTTCTTTAAACAGTGAGCTAATACAGTCGATGATAACACAGGTAACACTTAGGGGCAAAGGCAAAATGGTAGTTTTGTATGTTCATGTTGTTGTTGTTGCTGACGATTCGAGAGCACTGTGTGCGACCGTTATCTGGAAGGTATGAAACTCTTCGGATAAACATGACCTACATAGAAAAAAAAACCGCCACTGAGTAACAGAGCAAAACCTAAGTCGACGAGTGAAAGTGAACTGTTTAATGGGCAATGAGATATTTTTCCGGACACATTTAATCAACCGAGTCGGGCATACTGCGCAAAGTCCAGAGAGAGAGAGGGAGCAGGAAGAAGATGGTCGCACACACGGAGTCTTCGGTATCGGAGGCGTACAAGCAAACGTACGTACACACACACACACACACACACACACGCACACACTGCTGGGTCCGCGTACGAACTGGCAATACGACACAAACAATGTTCACCTTTCAAAACGCCCACATCCTGTCCGAAACATGGAACAATGTGGGGATGTCAGTTGTCGTGATTACGTGGTTTCGCATGCCGGGGTCACAGACACACATAAACATCTTCTTTCTCCAGCCAACTGAGATGGTCGCAAAACCACTACCTATCAACAACACCGCAGTCCGATTAGATGTGCTGTGAATTTCGGTGCGGAGAAGCATTGCTGTTTGACCAAGATCAAACGGGTGGGAAAAGATACAACCTAAGGGGCGAGTTTTGTCTGCAGAACAACGCCAAACAACAACAATCATGACGCATAACGCGTGAGTTTAACCCGGAAAAACAGGCATGACAGTGGAAGCAACAAATTGCAATCAGTGAAAGACGTTTACCGTCCGGGGGACATTCATGATATGAGGCCAGTCCATAGACAAAAAAAAGAATAAGAGCAACCGGCAGACAGTGCCAAGATTTCACACATTTTGGAACTAGGAAAAATCAACAATACTAGCAATCAGGACTGATCGCATTATTTACAACTATGAAAAATAAACTATACAGAGAAGAAGCTCAATCATGTACTGAGACGGAACTCCGAGGGAAATTACTAGATTTATCATCATCATCATTATCATTCATCATTGTACAGCGTAATATAGTGAAGCGAACTTCTCTGATCGTTGCCAAACTCATAATGTATACAAGATAAGTGGGAATGTGTAGGAAGGATAGGGAAAGGGGCTGTTTTAGGGACAGGAAAAGAAAGCTAACTTCTATGATCAACACACAAAGTTCAGAGTCCAACTGTGCACACGTCATCTTCGGCCTCCACGTGGCTTCTCCAAACTGCAACAGCTACTGAAAATAAGGCGCGCTGCGGTAGGCGACCGTCGGATATAAGTAACATGTATTCTAACCCACGAAGCCTAATGAGCTGAATTCGATGTAATAGCATGTTCTTGTTCGATGCATTCCCAAACATTCGACGACTTGCTTGTAAGTTACTAACCCGCTCACTCCATCCCACTTGAGCCAGAATGCGTAGGCATTGATTATCGAACACGGCTAAACGACGGATTACTTCTACCCGCAAATTCAAGGTCTCACTACCGTAAAAAGAACTGATCGTGTAGTGGAGCAGTATACGCGACTTTTCAACTTCAGTGAAACGTCACGTCGTCGCCACGGGTGTTTAGGTCCTACGTACGCTGCTCGAGCCTTGTAAATGCGCGCGATTAACTCCTTTGATGCGCTACCGTCGTTGGTCACGCAGCTACCCAAGTACTAGAAGCAGTTAACTTCAGATAATTCCTAACCACCTAGTTTCAGAACAGGACTCGGCGACAACCAGACTCAGATTTATATGCTTCAGTGAGGTAAATCTTCGAGGTAACAGACTGAGAATACCAACAAATAGACATGGACCCACATTACATGCGCACCAAGGTACTTGTTGTATAGATTCGATAGAGCGAGTGAGAACGCGATGCTACCCGACGAGATGTGGGGTGATAACACCGGAGCATGAACCTCGCATGTATGTGACAGAGAAATGCCAGTAACAACAAGCGAAACGGAGATTAGAGAGGAAATGACAGGAAATTAAGCCGAGTAACAAGTATGCCACCAAAGTAGGTAAAAACAATTCAAAAGCAGGTGCATTCGACTGAGTTTAGAGGAATAAAATTTCACAATAACAAATTGCAACAATTCGTCTCATTTGTGTCACTTGCCGTATCGATCAGCATACTGCAAGTGATTTTGAAAACACCCTTAAGGAATATGACACTTTGTTCATTTTGCAACCTCTTGCAACCGCTCCTCAATGATATCACCTCAACTACCCTAAAGTGGTTACTTTTTTCTAATACACAACTGAGTGTGATGAACAGCACAGGGGAGAACTCCATAGCGAAAAGGGCCTGCTGTTCAGCGGATGGTGCAAAGCACATATTCGCACGCCTCGATCAACAAGTGGCTTACAACAAGTTGCACTACCCATACACTGTCACCCAGGAAAGTTATGTTTGGAAGTTTGCCTGTTCTGCATCCCCTACACTACAGACCGCCTTGGATGAGCTGGAACACAGCTCGCCATCTACTTATGTCAGTTACCACTCAGACAGCCCGCGTCTTATACATGAGCAAACAATGAATCGACTTGCAACGAGCAGTATTGCCTGTAACAAGGAACCCAATTTTTCGTAAGTACCAAGACGGATTTTTTCACCAGCCAAAATCTACACTGGTACGAATTCGAGCAACGGGATTTATCCGAAGGGGACACCCAGACGGAAATGATCTATATATCTGACAGGCATTAGGCACAGGATTTGCACTACATACTTTCGTTCGTCATATCACTCGGCATGATTACAGCAATCAATCAAATGAGGTGGGGTGATAGATTCAGGACGGTGTGGATGCCAAGAGCTCTTGAAAAGATTTGTTTTTAGAGTGAGA